CCCCAAAACCCCAAAACCCCAAAACCCCAAAACCCCAAAAAATTAATTTTTGCTGAACCAGAGTAATAAATAATTTTAACATTTCTGGACCACTATGAGTTATTCGAATTCCAATAAAAGAAGAAGGGACAATAAGAAAATAAAACTCCGTAATGCAGTCAAAACCAAGATACAACAAAGTGCTTGGAAGAAGCAAATTTCTAAACCCAAGAAACTACGTTATGAGGAGATATATGAGAATTATCAATTATTCAAATCTGTAAGCTCTTATTTAATACACTTTCTAAGAATATAAATGAAAAGTTCATTTAAATTTTGGTTTCAGGACGAAACGTATGAATATTTCAAACTTTGGAAAATAATTGCTTAAATATCCATGATATAGTCACTATCACCATCTTAGGTGATGCTAGATTCATGCTGCAGGTCTTGAAAAATAAACGCTTGAGAAGGAACCCAAAGGAAAACCTTCAGAAGATAAATTCTCTGGAGCCTTCTAAGAGGCCTGAACGCCTACAATTCAATCGTAGGAGCAGGAGGCAATCGGAGGTAAGCCACTAGATTAATTTCAATAATCGTCCCACTAACAGACCTTGTAGGGGGGCACGAAAATAGAGATCACAAGGATGTCATCAGACTCAGAGAGCAACTTCCACTCTAAAAGTTTCGAGACTATCGAAGAAGAGGAGACTAAAAGATCTAAATCTATTGACAACAAGAAGAGTACTCCTATTTGTCATATTTAGATGTAAACATTTCTGAAATAATTGTGATTAATTTGTTCCAAAATGGCCATGAAAAGAAATAACAATTCTAAAACTAAGAAGAAATCCCAGCCTAAGAGAAAGACTGAAGCCATAGAGAGGGCTCAAGGTAATCAGGATAAGCGCAAGTATTATGAGAAACAAGCGACTATTTTGAAAGTGGCCAAAGAGAAGGTGAACAGCTCTCTCCAGCAGAATATTGATTACCTGAATAAAAAATCTGAGTAAGAACCGTACTTATTGCTAGGTCAAATGACCAACGGAAGTATAAAGAAAAATTTGAGAACAGAAGTACGCTAGTTAAAAGTAGCTCATGAATATAGTGTTTTATAAGGAAAACCAGTCTAAGACTTTTAAGCAGAGTAATAACACTCAGTTTAAGAATAAATCAGGATCTCCCCCTAGAGAGAGGATAACAAGGAAGCTTACAGGTACTATTTTGGGGTTATTCGGTTAGAAATGAACTCAGTTCAACGGTCAAGGCGGGTCCATAACTCTATGGTACCTAATGGCATTGGGAATATCTCATCAAACCCATTTTCAGGTTCCAAGGCTTCTGAGAATGAGGGTTATAGTCTAAATTGGACTACCAAAAAGAGTATTGACTCGAACTTTAAGCAAAGAGGCATCAAAAGAGATATGAGAATTATGACTGTTTATAATAGCAAAATGACGTCTTAGGAGATCATCACAGTGGGCCATAATTTTATTAATCCATTTAGAAAGTCCCAACAGAGACTCCACTGGGTTTACAAGACGGTTTTTACCTCAGGATTCTCTATATTTTCGAAATAAAGATTCAGTCAAGAGCTTGAATAAGACTAGGAGAGTGTATAAGGATGGCATAAATCCATGCAGTGTGAGCCCAGATTCGTCAATCAGTATTCCAAATCTCTAATTGACTTAGGACTAAGCATGACTACAAAGAATTGGGCCGCTAGTAATGTAACATCTAGTAAATTACTTGGCTAACTTTCCAGGTCAGAATCCATTTCAGAACAGAGAAAATAAACTAAGAGAAAACAGCACCGTTCATCGGTTTGACAGTATCAAGAAGAAAGAGAAGTATGCCTATACTAACCCTATAGGATTCGTCTAGGAAAAATAACGAAGGAAGGCTCAACTCATCTCTCGCTTAGTACTAAGCGAACTATGAAGAACAGTAGCTTCAGGCAGGTACCTTATAGCCTGAAGAACATCAAGAAGGAGGCTGAAAGCCACCTTCATGACCTTTACATGTCGTATACTCCATCCCGACTTAAGATTCTTGATAGTTTGAGCAGTCATGACTCAAGAGAGCGCAAAAATAATTTCCTCAAGCATTTAATTAACAACAGGTAATTATTCACTGTGACATGCTTAGTTTGGCTGAAGATCTCAAGAAACGGCATAAGAAATATTACAAAACAGACCAGAATCCCCTGGAAGAAGATTTTGGGGAGATTAACCATCACCAAAAAGGATTTTATTCAAAAGCAAATCATGAACTAGTCAATCTTCCTAATATAACGTAGATCGTAATAAAGGTCTGAGAGGTGTGGCTATCGATTGATTGCATAATAACAGGGACAACTGTCGACCATGACTCTGAGAAAGACATTAACCCATATCTTAGCTCCCTTACAATTATTTTATTAGAATTTATATCAATTTCTCCATCATCCTTAGGGGTTTTGGGGTTTTGGGGTTTTGGGGTTTTGGGG